GTACAGAAAAAAAGTAATTAATTTAATTTAAGCATTACTGCAGTTATACTTAAAAAAATTTTACGGTATTCTTAGGTTTTTGGGGTCGCTGATTACAAATTAGGCTTCAGATTTGGAAAATTTAAAATGGCGGACGAATTTTCAAAAGTTAAACACATTTCCTTGAAAATTGTTACTCGGAGGTTTTTAGGGTCGCTGATAAAGAATCCAGTGTCCGTTTTTCAAAATTAAAAATGGCGGATCCAGTATAGCGGACGATTTTTTAATAATCGTTCGGATTCGCTTGAAAATCGTTACTGGGGGGTTTTCGGGGTCGCTGATTTCGAATCTGATGTAAGTTTTTTAAAATTTAAAATGTCGGATCCAATATGTCGGACTGAAAAATTAAAAATAAATACAATTTACTAATATCAGATTCGTAATCAGCGACCTTAAAACGCCTGAATAATGAGTTTCAAGCATAACCGTCAAATTTAAAAAAATATATCCGCCATTTTCAATTTTGAAAAACGGACACCGGATTTTTAAATTTTAAATATATATTATTAGCTTCATTTTCTTTAGATTCCTTGAAGCCTAAGTGCAGCGTAGGTTGTAGCAACCCTTCTTATTGTTAGAGTGATATGGCGCGGCGGTTGGTGCGTATCACAATAAAAAATTCGTTTAATACTCTTCTAGTGGAAAATACAAATTTTTTCTTTTTGGAACTTAAAGAGGAGACTGCCATGTACACTTCATTTAACTTTTATCATAACACAGCCCCACAAAAAAAAAAGTGTCGTGCGCGGCAGACCAGACTAGTCATTTCCCATGTATTTTGACGCGCTGAACACGAATCCGAAGTCCGTTTTGCTCCATCACGTCAGGATTTTTTTCTAACCTCCAAAAACCTGTCGGATTTTGAGAGGTAGGCTATTTTTTTAAAAAATTGATGGATTTACTTCAAAATTGGTATCTAGGGGTTTTTTGGGTCGCTGATGACGAATTTGAAGTTAGATTTTCAAAATTCAAAATGGCGGCTCCAATATGGCGGACGAATTTTGTAAAAAGTGATGGATTTACTTCAAACTTGGTATCTAGGGGTTTTTTGGGTCGCTGATTACGAATCTAAAGTTAGATTTTCAAAATTTAAAATGGCGGCTCCAATATGGCGGACGATATCGACCCTTCAAAGGTGATAATTCCGCCCTTACACACGAAACTAGGAGCAATTAAACAGTTTGTCAAAGCCTTAGATAAAAAAGGAAACTGTTTCAAATACCTGGAACAAAAGTTTCCAGAAATCTCTGATGCGAAACTAAAAGAAGGGGTTTTCGACGGACCACGTATTCGCAAATTGTTAAAAGATGAGCAATTTATCACCAAGATGAATAAAAAGGAGAAAGCCGCATAACTTAGTTTTAAAGCAGTTGTCGAAAATTTTCTGGGTAATCACAAGAGTGAAAATTGGGAGCAAATAGTTAGTGATATGATTAAAAACTTTGGTAAGTTAGGATGCTTAATGAGCATAAAGTTGCATTACTTAGACTCGCATCGGGATTAATTCCCTGAAAATTTGGGAGATTACAGTGAAGAACAAGTACCTGGAGGCACCAATTTAAAAAGAAAACCATTACACAAATCCTTTGAGGACAAAAGAGTGCGCTACCATAAAAAGACGTGAATACCTTACTTATGTATATAAGAATTTTCATTTCTAGTTTTGAAAATCTAACTTCAGATTCGTAATCAGCGATCCAAAAAACCCCTAGGTACCAAGTTTGAAGTAAATCCATCAACTTTTACAAAATTCGTCCGCCATATTGGAGCCGCCATTTTGAATTTTGAAAATCTAACTTCAAATTCGTCATCAGCGACCCAAAAAACCCCTAGATACCAATTTTGAAGTAAATCCATCAATTTTTAAAAAAAATAGCCTACCTCTCAAAATCCGACAGGTTTTTGGAGGTTAAAAAAAAATCCTGACGTGATGGAGCAAAACGGACTTCGGATTCGTGTTCAGCGCGTCAAAATACATGGGAAATGACTAGTCTGGTCTGCCGCGCACGACACTTTTTTTTTTTGTGGGGCTGTGTAATTAGAGGGGTAGAACACATAAATAATGTAAATTGTTTATAAAATTGTTATTAAAAATATCGCATTTTTAGGTTTACAATTTTGCAATTATATTCATTGAAAAGAGGGCAATTTTTTATATAATCAGTATCAGTTTCATTAACACCGGCACACAAAAAAAAAAAATTTCGAGTGCGAAGACCGCCACATGGTAGGTTCTCTTCCAGATGTAACTAAAGAGAAAATCCTAGTCCGACCTCGAGTTTGGTTCTTGTTTCATTTTTACAGGCCTGGTGGGGGGTGTAGTTTGAGAAATTAACATATATGGGAATTTAATTTCTTTTATCAACTGAAAGTGAATGTTTGCTTATTCTAACTGTGGATTTTGATTCAGTGGCTCTAATTACATGAAAATTTAATAAATACAAAAATTTAAAAATGGCGGATCCAATATGGCGGACCTAAAATGGTGGATTTTTTGAAAAATTTGCTTGGATTTCCTTGAAACTTGTTACTAGGGGGTTTTTCGGGTCGTTGATTACGAATTTGATGTCAAATTTTATAAATTCAATATGGCGGATCCAATATGGCGGACCTAAAATGGTGGATTTTTGAAAAATTTGTTTGGATTTCCTTGAAACTTGTTACTAGGGGGTTTTTGGGGTCGCTGATTACGAATTTGATGTTAGTTTTTCAAAATTCAAAATGGCGGATCTAATATGGCGGACCTAAAATGGTGGATTTTTGAAAAATTTGTTTGGATTTCCTTGAAACTTGTTACTAGGGGGTTTTTGGGGTCGCTGATTACGAATTTGATGTTAGTTTTTTGAAATTCAAAATGGCGGATCCAATATGGCTGAAAATTTTCGAAAAATTGTTTGGTTTTTGTCAAAAATTGTTATTTTGGGCTGTTTAGGTTGCTGAATATGATTTTAATGTCAACTTTAATACATTAAAAATAGCGTATTTGAAATGCCGAGTAACGGTCGACTTATTTCGAATTTAATTTGAATTTGTTTAAAACATTAAGACTTATTAAAAACACTTCTTTTGAAATGGGCCGAATTTGCGATTTTCGTTTCATAGTTTAAATTAGCAAAGTAGTAGGTGCGAAATTTTTTCAATCTTAACTTATGTTGCTTAGAAGTGTCAGAATCTTATTCAGCAACCTAAACAGCCCAAAATAGAAATTTTTTACAAAAACCAAACAATTTTTCGAAAATTTTCAGCCATATTAGATCCGCCATTTTGAATTTCAAAAAACTAACATCAAATTCGTAATCAGCGACCCCAAAAACCCCCTAGTAACAAGTTTCAAGAAAATCCAAACAAATTTTTCAAAAATCCACCATTTTAGGTCCGCCATATTAGATCCGCCATTTTGAATTTTGAAAAACTAACATCAAATTCGTAATCAGCGACCCCAAAAACTCCCTAGTAACAAGTTTCAAGGAAATCCAAGCAAATTTTTCAAAAAATCCACCATTTTAGGTCCGCCATATTGGATCCGCCATTTTTAAATTTGTGTATTTATTAAATTTTCATGTAATTAGAGCCACTGAATCAAAATCCACAGTTAGAATAAGCAAACATTCACTTTCAGTTGATAAAAGAAATTAAATTCCCATATATGTTAATTTCTCAAACTACACCCCCCCCCCCCCCGCCAGGCCTGTAAAAATGAAACAAGAACCAAACTCGAGGTCGGACTAGGATTTTCTCTTTAGATACATCTTAAGGAAGAGAACCTACCATGTGGCGGTCAAAAAACGGTTAAAAGTGTTTTTTTGTTTTATTATAAACTATAGATTTTCATAAAAGTTTTAACATTTTAGAAAATCAATGAAAATTTGTTGACACGGTTGACACGGAGTTACTCACGTGTAATTACAAGTGTAAAAATTTCATTAAATTTTCCAGAATTGTAAAGGTACTTTTGAACAAAAGTAGTGATTTTATGTGTAGTTACACATGTAAAAAGTGCATTATATTTTCGAGAAATGTCAAAGTATCAAATTCACGTGGAGTTTCAAGAAAAAATCTAAATTTGAATCAAAGTATCGATTATACGTGTAGTTACACGTGTAAAAAGTTCATAAAATTTTCGAAAAATATCAAAGTATCGATTACAAATGTATTTCTACGTGTAATAATTCTTGAAATTTCGAAAAAGCTTTAATGTATCAAAAACATGTGTAATTACACGTGGAGTTTATTGAAAAAAAGACTTTCAAATTCCAAGTATAAATTACACATGTGGCCAAATCTACACGAGTATTTTTTCAATAGAGAATGCGACAGTAGTGATCACAAAGTGAATTAAAAAAGCATAGTCGCCGTGGGCGGTTATTTAATTATTTCTAGTCGAATCGTCAAACTTCTATGAGTACAATGAAGTTAACAATGAATGTTTGAATGTTGAAACATGAGAACATGTTTAAGTATATCGTAGAGTTTAGTCAATATTCTTCAAAACATCTTTAAAGGAAAAGAATTTACATAACATATAGAAAAAACGTGCAAAATTAAAAACTGTAGCGAAATGTCGAACTCATCATTGAAGCTACCTAAATGCTCTAAGGTACTGTAATTTCACATGAGACGTATTAATTTTACAAATGTTTATGTTTTTCATAACTCGCATAAGTCATCAGACTTTGCAGTTTTCTCTCTCGGTAACAAAAGTAAGTTGTAAATTTTAGCAGCAAGACATAGATATAGCAACCATTGTACACAGAGTTATTTAATATTTACGAATTATTTTCTTCTTGATACACGATGTTTTTTTAAAAAAAGAATTTGTTTTTTGTTAAACTGTTTCTATTAAACATGTAATATAAAACCATATTTTACAATTAAAATGAGCTTTTACATTATATATATATTTTATTAAATACTTACACTATATGAAAAAAATTAATAATTGACAGTAAGAGTAAACTTACTTTGGTGCTATATCAGAACCTTGCTGCATAAGAGAGCCTATGGTGAACCAGAGAGAGTTAAGGAGAGTGAAATCGTTTCCTACGACATCCGTTTTACTGCTGCAAGGATGCGGATTTTCCCATTCATAAGGACTGAACCTGCAGACAATGGAATGAAAAATTAAAATGTTTATGTGGAAAGTTAAATATACCGAAGCGTCGTTATTTGTAACCATTTCGTCGGTTTTTATAACAAAAAATTCATATCGTCGAACTACATAAATGCAAACAAACAAGCAGTTTTTAGAAATTCCGACAACTTTTACTGGATTACCATCTGACGAAAGTCTGAAAGGACTCTGCAGATATTCTGCTGAAATTCGGGTTACTTAGAAAGAAAATGAAAATCACGCATGTAAAGTCCAGTAAAATTGACCCGCATTGATATTCCTATATTCTCGGATACTTTCCTAAAGTAGAAAAATTTTCGTGATCTTTTTGAATCGCTTATTTTGTCTAATAATAATCAACATGACACTTGAAAACTACTATTTTACATAGAGTTTAGAAGGTAGTGCTGCTGAGTTTATAAAATATTTGAATATTACTGAAACAAATTTCTTATCTGCCTTGGACATTTTGAATAAGAGGTAAAAAAATAAATGGTTGATTATTAATACCTATTTAAATACATCAATTTAGGACTAGATATAGATAACACAGGCTTGCAAATTTAATCTATTTTTCCGAAAAATGAGTGCGACTAGGTGTTTTCTAAGGGAATTTTCGCCCTGAACAAGAATTCGGTATCCAAAATGCTTCATGACGTAACATTTTTGAGAAAAATCGTGTTGAAACTATAAAAACAGCATTTTTGCTACTTTTTGAAAAATCGTGGAGCAAAATCCTGACGCGATAAAAACTTCTCTATTATCAGAAACTAAAGCTGGAATCATGATCTTTGAAATGAGTCCATAGCCGACTTATTTTCTTCAACCCTTAACCTATCTCCCCTCTTAGAAGAAGAATCAAGAGTCAAGTCCTGTATCTGATAGTGTATTAGCGTTTAGCTAATAGTGTTTAGCTCAAAAATGATCATTCACTACCACAGCCTATAATACCCGTGATTTTTTCCCGAAAAATGGAGACCTTAACCAAAATCCTGACAGTTTTTGGCATAGTAAAGTTGGTTGTATTATTTTCTATTGCAACGTTTTGATGCACATAAGTTATATCAAAATGAGAGCGTTTTGTAAATCATTTTTAGAAATGATACCCGAAACGGTCTGATTGTTTGATGCAAAAAATTCAATCAACTTATATTAATCATGTCCGAAATGAATCGACTGAAGAATAAACGATTTATTTTCAGGTATTTTCGTATGTAATTGCGGAGACTATTTCACTATTTAATTTGAAAATGAGTATAACAGAAAAACAAAGACAATGTGCAATTCGATAATTAAATAGTGACAGCTTATAAACATACCTAAAATGCATGAAAAAAAATTTGTCGATAAAATCAATATAGCCGAGTTTTTAAAAGGTAGGTGGCAGCACTCATCTTTTTTCTTTCTTTAAATTTTTCTGAATCGTTTTTATAAAAAGCAAAACTTTTACTTGAAATATTGGTCAAAAAGATGTATTATGTTATCAAAAAAAGTAATATTGTAATCAATAACATTGATTTAAATAAGATATTTATTATTTTCAACAACAATAAAATAATTCATTATTTTTTGCAATATATTTAATGAAAGAATTCATTTTTTCACAAATATTTTCGATCAAGTAATAAATATTTTTTACCAATTTTTCCGTTCAAAATTAATATTTTTCACCTTTTCTTTGATAAAAAAATTAATTTTTTCACCATTATTTTTGATATAAAAATTAATTTATTTCACCAATATTTTGACTTAAAAATTTTTTTTTTCATGAAAATTTCCTTTAAAAATGTATCTTTTCTTTCTATAAAGAGGAGGTAAAATCCTAATTTTTATTGGCAAAAAAATCTCCATTTTTTATTAAGGGGATGAGACTAAATATTGACAAATAAAAAAATTTAATTTTTTCTCCATTTTTAATTTTTGACGCCATAAATAGAAATCTTTCTTAATAGAGAGTAGGAGTTTAAATCTTAATTTTTATTGGCAAAAAATCTTTATTTTTTATTAATGAAATGGGACTAAATATTGTTAATTTAAAAATTTTAATTTTTTCTCCTCTCAAGATTTCTACTCGTTGCGTCAAAAATTAAAAATGGAGAAAAAATTAAATTTTTTTATTTGTCAATATTTAGTCTCATCCCCTTAATAAAAAATGGAGATTTTTTGCCAATAAAAATTAGGATTTTACCCCCTCCACTTGACAGAAAGAAAAATACATTTTTAAAGGAAATTTTCATGAAAAAAAAAATTTTTTAATTAAAAATATTGGTGAAATAAATTAATTTTTATATCAAAAATAATGGTGAAAAAATTAATTTTTTTATCAAAGAAAAGGTGAAAATTATTAATTTTGAACGGAAACATTGGTGAAAAGTATTTATTATTTGATCAAAAATATTTGTGAAAAAATTAATTTTTTTATTAAAAAAATTGCAAAAAATAATTAATTATTTTATTACAAATATTGTTGAAAATAATTAATATCTTATTTAAATCAATATTATTGATTACAATATTACTTTTTTTGATAACATAATACATCTTTTTGACCAATATAAATCAACTCATTTTTTAAAAAACCGAATTTTACATCTACGAAACTTTGCTCCACTAACTCAAAAATAAAGCCAGCATTGATCCATCACCCTCTGAATTTTTTTAAATCGAAAAAACTACCCCTAATCTGAAGAATAAAATTCAGGAGGCAAGACAATAAAATAACTGATTAAAAAATTTTATAACCAGGTATTTTTACTCCAGCAAAGCAGAAACAAAGCCAGAAATGCTCCCTCACCCTCTAAATTTTTTTTAAATCGAAAAAACCACCCTTAAATAGAAAAATTCAAATTTAATAAGTAAAAAATATTAAATTACCTGTTTTTTTAAAAACAGAACCTTACAAGTATGTAGTTTTGCTCTTCTAACTCAAAAAAATAAAGCCAGCATTGATCCATCACCCTCTGAATTTTTTTAAATCGAAAAAACTACCTTTAATCTGAAGAATCAAATTCAGGAGGTAAAACAATAAAATAACTGATTAAAAAATTTTATAACCAGGTATTTTTACTCCAGCAAGGCAGAAACAAAGCCAGACATGCTCCCTCACCTTATAATTTATTTTTAAATCGAAAAAACCACTCTTAAATCAAACTTAGGAGGTAATACAATATAATTATATTGTATTACCTCCAAAGTTTGATTCATTGATTGTTTTTTTTATTTAAAAAAATGTTAGAGGGTGAGGGAGCATTTCTGGCTTGGTTTTCGCATTGCTGGAGTAAAAATACATGGTTATTAAATTTTATAATCAGTTATTTTATTGTTTTACCTCCTGAATATGATTCTTCAGATTAGGGGTAGTTTTTTCGATTTAAAAAAATTCAGCGGGTGATGGATCAATGCTGGCTATATTTTTTTGAGTTAGAAGAGCAAAACTACATACATGTAAGGTTCTGTTTTTAAAAAAAGCCGGTAATTTAATATTTTTTTACTTCTTAAATTTGAATTTTTCTATTTAAGGGTAGTTTTTTCGATTTAAAAAAAATTTAGAGGGTGAGGGAGCATTTCTGGCTTTGTTTCTGCTTTGCTGGAGTAAAAATACCTGGTTATAAAATTTTTTAATCAGTTATTTTATTGTCTTGCCTCCTGAATTTTATTCTTCAGATTAGGGGTAGTTTTTCGATTTAAAAAAATTCAGAGGGTGATGGATCAATGCTGGCTTTATTTTTTTGAGTTAGAAGAGCAAAACTACATACATGTAAGGTTCTGTTTTAAAAAAAAACAGGTAATTTAATATTTTTTTACTTCTTAAATTTGAATTTTTCTATTTAAGGGTGGTTTTATCGATTTGAAAAAAATTTAGAGGGTGAGGGAGCATTAATGGCTTTGTTTCTGCCTTGCTGGAGTAAAAATACCTGGTTATAAAATTTTTTAATCAGTTATTTTATTGTTATGCCTCCTGAATTTGATTCTTCAGATTAGGGGTAGTTTTTTCGATTTAAAAAAATTCAGAGGGTGATGGATCAATGCTGGCTTTATTTTTTTGAGTTAGAAGAGCAAAACTACATACATGTAAGGTTCTGTTTTTAAAAAAAGCCGGTAATTTAATATTTTTTTACTTCTTAAATTTGAATTTTTCTATTTAAGGGTAGTTTTTTCGATTTAAAAAAAATTTAGAGGGTGAGGGAGCATTTCTGGCTTTGTTTCTGCTTTGCTGGAGTAAAAATACCTGGTTATAAAATTTTTTAATCAGTTATTTTATTGTCTTGCCTCCTGAATTTTATTCTTCAGATTAGGGGTAGTTTTTTCGATTTAAAAAATTCAGAGGGTGATGGATCAATGCTGGCTTTATTTTTTTGAGTGGATAGAGCAAAACTACATACATGTAAGGTTCTGTTTTTAAAAAAAGCCGGTAATTTAATATTTTTTTACCTCTTAAATTTGAATTTTTCTATTTAAGGGTAGTTTTTTCTATTTAAAAAAAATTCAGAGGGTGAGGGAGCATTTCTGGCTTTGTTTCTGCCTTGCTGGAGTAAAAATACATGGTTATAAAATTTTTTAATCAGTTATTTTATTGTCTTGCCTCCTGAATTTTATTCTTCAGATTAGGGGTAGTTTTTCGATTTAAAAAAATTCAGGGGGTGCTGGATCAATGCTGGCTTTATTTTTTTGAGTTGATAGAGCAAAACTACATACATGTAAGGTTCTGTTTTTAAAAAAAGCCGGTAATTTAATTTTTTTTTACTTCTTAAATTTGAATTTTTCTATTTAAGGGTGGTTTTTTCGATTTAAAAAAAATTTAGAGGGTGAGGGAGCATTTCTGGCTTTGTTTCTGCTTTGCTGGAGTAAAAATACCTGGTTATAAAATTTTTTAATCAGTTATTTTATATTTTTACCTCCTGAATTTGATTCTTCAGATTACAGGTAGGGCAATACACCTTTTTCTATTTGATCACAATGAATAGCAGTTGACAGATTTATAAAATTCTC